GCCGGGAAGGGCGCCAGCGTCCGGGCAGCCCTCCAGGGCCTTCCCGGCTCCCCCGGCCCCTGCCCCCGCCGGGGACACCCGCCTCGTCCCCCGCGTCCGGTGCCCGCCGCGCCCGCTCCAGGAACAGTCCAGGGAGAGGGCTGGGCGTGGTCCCAGGAGGGGAGGAGGCCAGGCCGGGGCCCCAGGTGGCCGGGACCCCAGGCCTTGGGGTCTGCTCACGCCTGCGGGCGGGACCGGAGTCCTAGCCCCCCAGCGCCGTCCCAGCGGGCAGAGAGACTCCCCCGCCCCGCCACCCGGCCGTCCTGCCTACGCTGGGAAACCGGACCCTCCCTCCCGCCTCCGGTTTCCCGAAAACTCCTGACTTGCAGATGCTAAGAATGGCTTTCTAGACCCGGCCTTCCTCTGCCCCCCTCCCCCAGCACCCTTAGGCCGGAGCTGGCTGCCAGCCCTTACCCACTTGAGACCCCTGCCCCTTCTTCCACTCCTCCCTCAGACCCTGAAGTCCGGGCCCCCAGTCTCCTCCTCCCTCTGACCCAGGAGTCTGGACCCTGAGCTCTTCCTCCCTCAGACCCCAGACCCGACGAGTCCGATCCTCGGGCCCCTTCCTCCTTCAGACCCAGGTGTCCGAGCCCCCAGCCCCTCCTCCCCGGGGACTTGGCATCTTTCTAGGTCCAGCTGTTATTTGTCGCTCTTTAGAGCACGCGGGCGGAATGTGGGGCGGCAGGGGGCGGGGAGGGCTGCGTCCCGGGGCCTCCTGGGAGTCTCTGGACTCCTTAAAGGGCTCCCCCTGGGGGCCCACGCGTCCTCCCAAGAGACCAGCGGGACGCAGCTGCCGTCGTAGGAGCAGGAGGAGTTCCGCTGCCGACATGCCTGAGGCAAAGCCAGGTGGCTGCCAGGACCTCTTCCCTGTATGGGGACGAGGGTCCTCTTTTCTGAATGGCAATTGAGGGTTTTTCTCTTTGTGGGATTGGGAGAATGGAGTGCCTTTTCCGTGTGGGGAGGGGGTTCCCTTCCTTGTGTGTAGGGGTAGGGGAGCCCTTATCTGTGTAGGGGAGTCCCTATCTGTGTAGGGGAGTGTCCTTTCCCTGCATGGGCAGGTCCTTTCTCTGTAGGGGCTTAGGGGGCTATCTCTGGGTGTAAATGGGGATTCTCTGATTGTGAATGGAGGTCTTTTCTTCTCATTGGGGCTGGGGAACCTGCGTGTGTAGATCAGGAAGTCTTTCTTGCATGACACTTGGGGTCCTTCTACTTTGGGGTTGAGGTTCTCTGGGTAGGAATCGGGGCCATGCCACCACATGAAGATGGGGGTCTTTCTCTGTAGAGGGTTGAGATCCTTGAGTGTATGAAGATTTGGGGGTTCCTCTCTACATGGTGAGATGTGCTCTTGTCTGCATAAGGATGGAGACCCTCCTTATACGGGGACTGGGGTCTTCCCTGTGTAGGAATTAGGGGACCTTCTCCATATAAGGGGTGGGGGTCATTTCTTTAAGTGGAGTTTGGAGAGCCTATTTCAATGGAACTGGGGGCATTTCTTTATACAGGGATAAGATCTTTCTCTCTAGAAGGAGATGAACACAGGAGACACAGCCCTCAGAAGTCCCCTCCCCTGGGGTGTTCAGTTCACTGGCCTCAGGCTAACTAAGTTCTGGGGTGAGGGTCCAGCCCCTCACTGCTACTGGGGCCCCAGCAGAACAGGAGCCAGCTGCAGGGCAGGTGGAAGGTGCTGCGGTCAGCACGGGGTGTCCAATTTCCAGCCCAGGGGAAGAGCTAATTATACCCCCAGATCCCAAAAGGTCAGGGCCTAGTGGCCCGGGTAGATGGGGCAGGGCCTGCTTAGGGTAAAGGGAAACCTGATCCCACAGACACTCAGGATTAGAGATAAATTTATGCTTCGAATGGGGGCCTGGACTCCTGGGTTTGAGGAAGAGGGGGCTGGAGCGCTGGACTTCTGGGTCTGAAGGAGAAGGGGGCTGGGGGGCCGGACTCCTGGGTCTGAGGGAGAAGGGGGCTGGTGGCCTCCACTCCTGGGTACCGGAAGAGGAGGGCAGAAGAACGTGGTCAACTGTGAATACCTCTTTCTTCCATGTCCCAGAGGCCAAAAAGGCCCCCAAAGACAAAGATGCCCCCAAAGAAACTCCCCCTAAGGATGCTCCTGCAGAGGCCCCCAAAGGTGAGACTGGGATTCTCTTGGGCTCATCTGAACTTGGCATCTCATCTGCCCCCGTTCCCCTCACTCTTGTGCACCCTTGGCACAACCTCCTGCCAGCCCTTCCTCTAGTCCAGCCCCTATAGGGCCCCAGAGCTGACTGTGCCCCTCCCCTGCTTCCAGTCCTCCCATGGCTCCCCAGTACCCCGGGACAGAGCCCAGCTTCTCAGCCTCACCAACATGCTGGCTGATCAAGTCCTGCCCAGCTCCGAATGCTCCAGGCCATCTTTAAGGCTCTCCTACCCACAAGGCCCATTCAAGACCATCCAGCCCACTACCCTCCAGTTCACAGATGGGGTAACTGAGGCCCAAAGGGAGCAGGAGCCTGGCCAAGGTCACACAGCCACCTGGGTGACACTGGATCTTTCCCAGTTCAGGGGAAACCACTTCTCCCCCTGCCCCCCGACCTTTGGTTTCCGAGCAGAGGGTCTTCACTGGCTCTAAGCCCCTTCCTCATTTTGGCCTGCTGCCCCCCTGCCCAGCTTGTCTCTGACCCCAGAATCCTGTCTCCTGAGCAGAAGCCCCACCTGAGGATCAGTCCCCCACTGCCGAGGAGCCCACTGGGTTGTTCCTGAAGAAGCCGAACTCTGTGTCAGTGGAGGCTGGTGAGAGGACCTGGGGAGGACGGAGCTGAGGCCAGGATTCCTGAGTTTGAGGGAGGAGGGAGCTTGGGGCCTGGATTCGCAGGTTTGAGGGCGGAGAGGCTGGGGGCCTGGACTCCTCAGCCTGTTCTGGAGGGTCTTATGATCCCTGACTTGCCCCACCCTCACCCTCACCCCGCATCCAGGAAAGGACACGGTGATCGTGGCCAAGTTGAATGGGAAGGAGCTCTCAGGCAAACCAACCATCAAGTGGTTCAAGGGGAAGTGGCTGGAGCTGGGCATCAAGAGTGGCACCCGGTTCTCCTTCCAGGAGATTCACGACTCTGCCAGCAATGTGAGCATGTGGGCTGGGGCTGGAGGTTGTATGGGCCCCACTTCCCAGAAGGCCTGTTGCCTGAGACCAAACTATGAGCCTGGAGCTTTGTAGATGGAGAATGAGATCCTCAGGAACCGAGGTTGTGCAGGTTGTTCGTCAGAGATTGTGCTGGGGAGGAGGGGAGAATGCTTGGGTTAGGTCAGGGTGCACTTGGTCGTGGCTGTGTGCATCCCAGAAAGGTCTCAGGGGGTCAGGGACTTGGGACCCTAGGGGTCAAAATTGTCCAGGCATTGGCAAGAGACTGAGCTAGCCCCTGGGTGCTGAAGCTTCCCCACTCTTGGTCTCTATCAGCCCTGGTGTGGGGTTGGGGTGGAAGGACTCAGGGAGAGAGTTGTGAAGTGGGCTCTGGGGATGGTGGGGTGGTGCTGGGAAGCGGTCACATGCACCCACACCCTGGCCCTGGCCCCCAGGTGTACACCCTGGAGCTGCACATTGGGAAGGTGGTACTGGGGGACCGTGGGGATTACCGGCTCGAGGTCAAATCCAAGGACAACTGTGACAGCTGTGCCTTCAACATCGATGTGGAGGGTACACTGGCTGGGGTAGGGGTGAAGGGCCATGGGTCTAGGGTGGGAGATGGATGAACTAGCCAGAGTATGCAGGTGTGGGGTGAGGGGGTAGAGGCTTTGGGTAGAAGTATGGATAGGTGGACCTTTGTCAGGGAATTCAAAATTGGGAGTGACAGTCTGTAGGCTTAGAATATGAGGATGTGCATGCATGCTTAGGCGGGAGGAGGTATAGATTTGGGGGTGAAAGCATTTAGGGTTTTGGGGTGCACGTGCGAAGGCTTAGGAGGTGGGTTATGTGGATTCCAAGGTCACAATGTACAGGCTTGAGAATGTATCAGGAAGGGCTTGGGGAGTGAGGGTGTCCACCTTTAGAGAGTAAAGAGGGTCCTGGAAAGGTTGTGCAGCCCTGGAGGGGCATTCTGGTCTTGGAGGAGACTTTGCCTCCAGCTTACGTTTCTTCCCTCCCGCCCCATTCCCTCCCCCCAGCACCTCGTCAGGATGCCTCTGGACAGAGTCTAGAAAGCTTCAAGCGTTCGTAAGTAACCCTGGGCCCTGGGGAGAGGGATCCCATCTCCTGATGCCAAGGACCGTGGCAGGGTCTCCCTTGGGACAGGGAGATGTGGGAGAAGGGAGGATTGAGAAAGGCAAAGAATGGGGATCCTGGGATGAGTCTGGGGGGACAGGACCACAGTGCGGTTCACACTCATCTCAATGACCACAGGGGTGAAAGGAAGCCACAAGGCGCAGGTGAGCTGGATTTCAGCAGCCTGTTGAGGAAGAGGTGAGTCAACCCCACCTGGTATAGGGAGGGGGAAATGGGGACTCAAGGAGGAAGAGGATGGTGGGTTAGGTTGAGGCAGTGCCTCTGTTGCTTCTCATCTGTCGTTCCTAGACTCGCGGCCCACAACTCAACCCCTCATTCATCCATCCACCCCCACTGGGCCCACCCAGTTTTCAGCCCATCAACCTATCCATCCCCCTGTCTATTCATCCATCTACCCAATCACCCACACCCCCATTCAGTCAACCAACTGCCCACCAATTCACCTACCTACCCACACTTTAACCCATTTGCCTCACATTCACTCTTCTTTCCACTCACCTATTCACCCACCTAGCCATCTATCCATCCACTTGTCTGTCCACCCACCCACTAATCCATCCATCTATTTAACCAGCTATCCACTTATCCATCTATTTATCCATCCATCCACCTACCCATATATCTTCCCACCTATCCATCCACCCATTTGCCCACATATCCAGTCACTCATTTATTAACCCACCCATTCATCTTCCATCCACCCATTCTGTCCATTCATTTGCCCATCCACTTTTCCACCTATCTAGTCATCCATCTATCCGCCTCTTCACCATCTGTCTACCATATATCCACCTTCTCATCTGTCTCTCCACCTGCTCCCAATTGAACCCAACATCCTATGCATCCATCTAGCCATACATTCCTCTATCAACTGTTCACCTCTCCACTGACACATTCATCCACCCAGACAGTTCTCTGTAAGACTAAGCTATATGAGATTGCTGTTCTATAGGTCAAAAATGTCTGAATGCTGGCAATTTCGTATGGTTCAATTTAATACTTGCCCAGTCACTCACATATTCATTATCTACTGGTCCCCCTATCCATTCTTCTACTCACCCATATGTCTCCATAACCAGATCCATGACAACCTCACTTACTACACCTTCTCCTCACTTATCGACTATCTCACTATCCCACATTTCTTGTTTACAACAATGGTAAAAAATCTACTATCTGACTGTTTTTCATATTAACGATGAATTTCTGGCAGTAACGAACGCTGAGGTGCAAGGTGAGAGTAACACTGGCTTTAATGGTTAAGGTTGTGGATCAGCTTGGCTGGGCCATGATTATCAGTGGTTTGGCAGTTATGTAATGATGTAATTTGGTAGTTATATAATGATGTAGTCAGCCTCCATTTTGTGATCTGATGTGGTCATCCTCCACTTTCACATAACACCAATTTCACGTAATGACTTGATCTTTGGAACCTAACCATGATGATAAGGAGAGGGTGTAATAGATTCATTTGTTTGTCTCTGCCCAGACAACCACCTACCCAACATTTTCCCATCAACATATCCATCCAGCAGCCCACTTAATCATTTCTCAACTCATCAATCCACTTAATTCACCCAACCACCCTCACCAACTCATCCATCCCTCCACATACCCACCCATCTCCCACCAATTCATCCGTCTACCCACCCACTCCCCAGCAACCCACCTGGTCATCCATCTAGCCATCCATTGACCTATCCACCCATCTCCTCCCTTGTCCCTTTCACCTCCCCCATCTATCAGTCCATCCACTCATTGCTCTGTACTTCAATCCAAATACTCTTATGACCCCAAATTCACCCGCTCATCCATCCTCTCTTTGTTCCTTTCCCTTCCTTCCAAAGATCTATGCATCTATTCATCCACTCTATCACTCATCAAACATCCAGAGGCTCCTGTCAACCAATCCCTGGGCTGAGATCAGAGGACAGAGAGAAGTTTGACTGGGTCCCTGACATTGGGTCACTTGCTGCTGTGGGTAGATGGGTCTGATCCAACAGATGCATACACAGATTGATACTATCCTGTGTGGTTAGAGAGAGGGACCCACAGGGACCTGTGAGAGCCACAGTGAGAGCAATCTACTTCCTGGAGGGAGATGGGAACTTTGGCAATGGATCTTGTGGGATGAAGAGGAGTCCATCAGGAAGGGAAGGTGGGGAAGGGTCATCCAGAAAGGGAAACATTTTATGCAAAGACTTGGAGGCAGGAAAGATCTTAATGTGTTCAGGGAAAAAAAAAAAAAAACAAGGAGCTTGGTTTGGATGGTTGTGGGAGTGGTGATGGGAGAAGGATCTGGAAGGTAGGTGGGGTTGTGAATGCCAGGCTGAGGAGGCGGGGCTTGTTCCTCAGGGCAATAAGGAGCCACGGACAGTTTTGAACAGAGAAAGGATGGCATCTGATGTGGGTGTCAGAAATATCCCTCTGAGGCCACTTGGGGAACAGACTGGAGGAGAAAAGACTAGAGGCCAGGAGCCAGGGAGGAGGCTGGGACAATGGTCCAGGAGGGACAGAATAAGGAATAACAGGTCCAGAGAGAGAAAGTGATTTGGTAAAGTCATACAGCAAGGAAGTGGAGAAGGCAGAGGAGGACCCATACCTCCTCACCGCTGGTGGCCCTGGTCTGCTCTCCCCACCCCCTAGGGAGGTGGCTGAAGAGGAGGAGGAGAAGAAGAAGAAGAAGAAGAAGAAGAAGAGTGATGATGATGACCTAGGTATCCCACCTGAGGTTTGGGAGCTCCTGAAAGGGGCAAAGAAGAGCGAGTATGAGAGAATCGCCTTCCAGTATGGCATCACTGACCTCCGCGGCATGCTGAAGCGGCTCAAGAAGGTCAAGGCTGAAGTCAAGAAGAGTTCAGGTCAGCCTTGGTCTTAGGGGAGATGGGCCCTGCATCATGGGTAGCTAATGTTTGGATCCTGAACCTGTCTTTTGGAGGCCCAGTCTGAGCGGTAACAGAGCCCTCTTCTCAGGGACCTCCAGATTCATAGAAGGCTTCCTGACCTTGACCTTGGAGAGTTCATGGTCTAGGGAGGGAGATTTGGCACCTTTGAGTATGGTGAAGGCAGTGGGAACTTCTTGCCTCCATCCCCTCTGCTTCCCCCAATCTCCAGCCTTCACAAAGAAACTGGATCCAGCCTACTATGTGGACCAGGGCAACAAGATCAAGTTGGTGTTGGAGATCAGTGACCCAGACCTTCCCCTCAAGTGGTTCAAGAATGGCCAGGAAATCAAACCAAGTGGCAAGTATGTATGCAGCAACCCTGGGTCGGGGAGATCCTAGACCCAGAGAGAGAGCCCAGAAATTGGGCTGACTATTCTTTTCTTTTTAAATCAATAACTCTCATTCCCTCCTCTTCCCATTCCCTGGTAACCATTAATCTACTTTTGTCTCTGTGCACTCGCCTATTCTAGCTATTTCATATAAGTGGGATCAAACAATATTTGTCTTTTGTGTCTGGCTTCTTTCACTCAGCATAATGTTTTCAAGGTTAATCCATGTCGTAGCATGTTTCAGGACTTCATTTCTTTTTATGACTGAGTAATATTCCATTGTATGGATGTACTACATTTTGTTTATCCATTCATCTATTGATGTACACTTGGGTTGTGTCCATGTGTTGGCTATTTTGCATAATGCTGGTATGAACATTGGTGTACAAGTATCTATTTGAGTCCTTGCTTTCAATTATTTTGAGTATATACCTAGCAGTGGAATTGCTGGGTCATAGAGTAATTCTAGGAGTCCCTGGGTGTCGCAAATGGTTAAGCGCTCTGCTACCAACCAAAAGGTTGGTGGTTTGAATTCACTCAGAGGCACCTCGGAAGAAAACCCTGGCAACCTACTTCCAAAAGATCAGTTCTATTCTGAGACATGTGCGGTTGCCATAAGTCAGAATTGACTCAATGGCAACTTTTTTTTTTTAAATTGTAATTCTATGTTTAACTTTTTAAGGAAGGCTGGCCACTCTTAACCCAGAAAGAGCACTCACAAACATACATGAAAAATGCAAATACCCACTAAAAAATAGACAAAGGCAATGAAGAACAGGAATTTAGCTAAGAAACACAAATTGAACACTTCCGCATAATTTGGCTTTGATGGGAAGTGACTCACCCTGCGAACTGTTGGGAGGACCTACCCCAGAGCTAGGCTAGTACTCCATGCCCTGGGTTGAGGTGAGACTTTTGCACCAGGTACTTGTTTGAGAATGTTGGTAAGAAGCGAATTCTCACCATCAACAAGTGCACATTGGCAGATGATGCTGCTTATGAGGCAGTCGTCCATGATGAGAAGTGTTTCACTGAAGTCTTCGTCAAAGGTGAGGCCAGAATTTGGGCCTGAGATTTCTTGGGGAGTGGAACTCTGGAGGGGTCCTGAAACTACTGCCCTCCTGTCCCCCCTGCCTCACAGTACCTCCAGTCCTGATCATCACACCCCTTGAGGACCAGCAGGTGTTTGTGGGTGACAGTGTGCAAATGATGGTGGAGGTATCAGAAGAAGACGCTGAAGTCATATGGTAAGTGCCCCTTGATCTCTGATGTCCATGTAACTACTTGAATCTGCTCTGATCTTTATGGAACACCCTGTGACCTGTCTCAGAGATTTCTACCTTTACTCGGTGGTTACCGCGAGACCTCAGCCTTTCTCTATAAATCCTGACCTTCACCCATGAACTCTTCCTGGAAGTTCTGGCATCTACCCATCCCTATGACCTATGACTCTTCTTTGGGGTCCTTTTTCTGATTTCTACTGTTTCACTGATTCACTAAATCATTTATTCATCTACCATTCATATATTTATCCCTTTATTTAATCAATCATCCATCCTTTGGTTCATCCAGCCATGTATCTACTCCAGCCATGTATCTACTCATGTATCCATTTATGAACCTGTCCAGTCATTCATCTACCCATCCATCCATCCATCATCCATCCATCATCCATCCATCCATCCATCATCCTTCATCCATCCATCCATCCATCCATCCAACAATTCATTCATCCACCCATCCATTCATCCAGCCAATTCCCATCAAGTCAATTCAGACTCATAGCAACCCCATGTGTGTCAGAGTAGAACTGTGCTCCATAAGCTTTTCAGTGGCTGATTTTTCAGAAATAGATCACCAGGCCCTTCTTTCAAGGTGCCTCCAGATGGACTCAAACCTCCAACCATTCGGTTAGCAGCCAAGCACATTAACTATTTGTACCACCCAGGGACTGCCTGGCTCCTGACAAAAAAACACAAAAAACAAAAAAACAACAAACTAAACCCACTGCTGTCGGATGGATTCCAACTCATAGCAACCCTGTACGACACAGTAGAACTGCCCCATAGGGTTTCCGAGGCCCTAAGTCTATGGAAGCAGACTGCCACATCTTTCTTCTGTGGAGTGGCTGGTGAGTTTGAACTATCAACCATCCGGTTAGCAGCCGAGCACTTAACCACTCCACCACCAGGGCTCACCCCCTGACACCCAGACCCAAAGCTGTGCTGGCCTCTCACTTGTCCTTTTTTCATCCCCTCCTCTCAGGATGAAAAATGGTGTGGAGATGATCCCAGGGGATTCCCGCCAGGCCCGATACCGCTTCAAGAAGGCCGGGAAGCGCCATATTCTCATCTACCCAGATGTAACCCAGGAAGACGAGGGTCGCTATCAGGTCAAAACCAATGGTGGCCAGTGTGAGGCTGAGCTCATTGTGGGAGGTAAGGGGACTCCAAATGGGGGAGGAGGCCATGGCTGTGCATGCTTCTTCTGGTGCCAAAGTGCTCCTCTCTTTCACTCACTCTCTTCATTCAATCTACCAGTAAGTCCTATTGGCTCCACCTTCAAAGCATAACTTGAATCTGATCACTTCTCCCTATTTCCACTGCTCCCATCTGGTCTCCTCACCTTTTGCTTGGACTATTGCAGTAGCCACCTCATTGGTTACTCTGTTTCTACTCCTCCCTCTCCTCCTTACGGCCAATCCCCACCCGTCACCCCCCCCCACATGCACACAGACACACAGACACAGACACACACACACACACACGCACACACAAGTCAGAATGATCCTTGTAAAATGTAAGCCAAATGGTGAAAACTAAATGAGATCTATTATCTAGTTAACAGTATTTTTGTTGTTGTTGTTGCTAATTGCCATTGAGTCGATTCTGACTCGTGGCGGTCCCGTGTGTGCAGAGTAGTACTGTGCTTCATAGGGTTTTCAAGGTTGTGACCTTTTGGGAGCAGATCATCAGGCCTGTCTTCCAAGGTGTCTCTGGGTGGGTCTGAACCACCAACCTTTTGGTTTGTAGTTCAGTGCCTAATCATTTGTGCCACTCAGGGACTCCAACATTATTGTACCAATATCAATTTCCCAGTTTGAATATATTGTTCTTGGGTGCTGTTGAGTCGATGTTTTGACTCAGCAATCCCACGTGACAGAGTAGAACAGCTCCATAGAGTTTTCTTGGTTATAATCTTTACGGAACCAGATGGCCAGGCCTTTCTCCCGTGGAGTAGCTGGGTGGTTTCAAACCACCAACCTGTAGGTTAGCAGCCAAGCGCTTAACCAGTTTGAATATAGCTGCACCACCAGTTTGGATATAATGCTATAGTTTTATAAGATGACCCCACTGAGGGAAGCTGGGTGAAAGGTACATGGGACTCTATGCACTATTTTTGCAAATTCCTGTGAACCGATATTCATTTCAAAATAAAAAGTTAAAAAAAGCTAAGTCGTCAATGGCCAAATAAATTCTGGTACAGTCAATTCTCATTCTCTGTGGATTCTGTATTTGCAAATTTGCCTATTCACTAAAATTTAGTTGTAACCCCAAAATCAGTAAGCATGGTGGCTTCGTAGTCATTCACAGACTTGCACAAAGCAGTGAAAACCCTGAGTTACCCAATGTGCACGTTCCCAGCTGAGGTGGAACAGAGTGATGCTCTGCCCTCGTTTCAGCTCTTACACCATCACAAGTGTCTTTTTCACGATCTGTTTAGTGCCATGTTTTTCACATTTTTGTGCCTTGTGTTGGTGATTTTACCGTTTAAAACGGCCCCCAAGAGTAGCGCTGAAGTGCTGTCTCGGGTTCCTAAGTGCAAGAAGGCTGTGATGGGCCTTATGGAGACAATAACGTGTGTGAGGTAAGCTTCATTCAGGCATGAGTCATGGTGCTGTTGGGCATGAGTTCAATGTTCATGAATCAATAATATATATTAAATAAGGCATCTTTAAACAGAAATACAAGTAAAATAAGGTTATGTATTGATCAGTTGATGAAACTGTTGTGACCAGAGGCTCACAGGAACCTAATCCTGTATTTCCCCTGGAGCAGTCATTCAGTATTTGCTAATTCAGTGTTCACAGTGACTTTGTAGAGCATAATTACTGCAAATAATGACAACTGACTGTATAGCCATATGCAGCCATAAAAAAGGAATGTTTAAAAATTTGCTCACATGCAAGGATTTCCAAGATACAGTGTTAGGTGAAAAAAAGCAAATATGCTACTATTTGTATGTGGGGGAAGAGAGGAAGGAAGGAAAGAGGGAAGGAAGGGAGGGAGAGAAGGAGGGAGGAAAGGAGGGAAGGAGGGAGGGAGGGAAGGGGAAGGGGGAGGGAGGGAGGGAGAGAGGAAGGTTTTTCTCTTTTCCCATTTTGTTCACAGCTGTATTCCCCAGTGCCTAGAACAGTGCCTGACACATAGTGAGTTCTCTCAGGTATTTGGGGGTTGTGATGGTCCTACTCCTTCCGTCCCCTTTCAGTGAAGCAGTTGGAAGTCCTGCAGGACATTGCAGATCTGACAGTGAAGGCCTCAGACCAAGCCGTGTTCGCCTGCGAGGTGTCTGATGAGAAGGTGACAGGAAAGTGGTACAGGAACAGGGTTGAGGTGCGGCCCAGCAAGAGGATCACCATCTCCCACACAGGGAGGTGAGGAGGAGGCCACGGAGGTGGCTAGGGTAGGGGTGGGATATGTGTATCCCTAGCTATAGCTGCATGTCATAGTTTCCTGGGCTGCCATAACGAAATACCACAAAGTGGGTGGCTGTATGTGTGCGTCTATAGACATATATATTTTGTTGTTGTTAGGTGCTGTCGAGTCAATTTTGACTCATAGTGACCTCATGTGCCAGCAGAGAACTGACTCATAGAGTTTTTTAGGCTGTAATCTTTATAGAAGCGGATTGCCAGTTCTTTCTCCTGGGGAGTCACTGGGTGGGTTCGAACTGTCAGCCTTTCAGTTAGCAGCCAGGCACTTAACTGTTAGCGCCACCAGGGCTCTACAATGGGTGGCTTTAAAGAACAGAAATTTATTGTCTCAGTTCTGGGGACCAGAAGTCCAAATCAAGGTATCAGCCATGTCGATTCCTTCTGAGAGCTTTGAGAAGGAACTGTTCCATGCCTCTCTCCTAACTTCTAGTGGCTGCTGGAGATCCTTGGCATTCCTTAGATGCATCTGCCTCTGTCATCACACGGCGACTTGTTTCCCCCTGTGTGTGTGGCTCTGTTTCCATGTCTGTCCCTTTCTTTTATAAGACGCCACTCAGAGGGGATTAGGGTTAGGACCTACCCTACTCTGGTATGGCTTTGTTAACGGATAACATCTGCAGAGATAAACTTCATTTCCCCAAACAAGGTCACAGTCATCTATGTAGGGGTTAGGACTTCGACATATCTTTTTAGGGGACACAGAAGATAATTTAGTAATGAGAAAAGCTAACATTTACTGATACTTACTATATGCCAGGCACTGGTTCAAATGCTTTACATGTATTTATTCCTCATCAGACTATGAATAGCTTCTAGCATCCCCATCTTACAAATGAGAAAACTTGAGGCACAGAGAGGTTAAGTAGCTTGCCCAACATCACACAGCTAGTATGTGGCAGAACGGGATTTGAACCCAGGTGACAGCATTCCAAAGCCCAGAATAAAAATAGCAGGCATGTAGATTGGATTGAGGTGGTGTTTTTCTAGGTGGCACTGAGGGAAAGAGATGGGGGCAGTCTGGCTCTGTGGTGGTCCCCAGGATGGCCTGGCCTGAGTCCTACCCTGCTCTCCAAACTCTTTAGGATCCACAAGTTGGTGATCGATGATGTCCATCCCGAGGATGAGGGAGACTACACGTTCGTGCCTGATGGCTATGCCCTGTCCCTCTCGGCCAAGCTCAACTTCCTGGGTGAAGATGCCCCTTCTTTTCTCCCCGGGGTCTCAAGATCCACCCTCCCAGGCCCTGGGACCCCTGGCTGCCTCCCTTCATGATTCCCTACCTGTACAGTGGGGCTGAGGGCAAGCGTCTGTCCTTCCCATGGGATGGAGTTAGCTGAGAAATGGAGAGAGAGCATTGCATACACTGAAGGGTGTCCACGTGGGAAGAAAAGTGGGACTAGGAATAGTTTGTGGGCCTCAACCTCACCCCAACACCCCAGTTCCCTGGTGATTGCCAGGCTTTCGTCTCTGCCTCTGGGTGGTGAAGGTGGGGTGAGGAGCTTGCTGGATTTAGACCTAACCTTCCAGTCTTCTTTGTCCTCCAGAAATTAAGGTGGACTATGTACCCAAGCAAGGTAAGGATCAAGAGTTACTCTGGTAAGCTAGGTGGCTGGACTCCTGGGCATGAGGGAGGAGGGGGCTGGGGACCCAGATTCCTGGAGCTGAGAGAGGAAGGGAATGGGGGCTCTGACTCCTGGGTCTGAGGGAAGAGGGGCTGTAGGCCTGGAATCCTGGGTCTCAGAGAGGAAGGGCCTGGGAGCCCAGATTCCTGAGTTTGAGGGAGGAGGGGCTGGGGGTCCCGACTCCTGCGTCCTTGTGGAGGAGGAGGATGGGGGCTGGACTCCTGGATCCCAGGAGATGAAGGAGTTAGGGCACCAGAATCCTGGATCTTTATGGTTGTTGGAACCCAGCTTCCGGGGGATCCTCTGGTGGGAGACTGGGAGGGCCCAGATGCCCACCCCTAAGGGCCCAGTATCTCTTCTCTGCCATCAGAGCCACCAATGATTCACCTGGACTGCTCTGGCAAGACCGCAGAGAATTCAATTGTGGTTGTGGCTGGAAACAAGCTGAGGCTGAACGTGGCCATCACAGGGAAGCCACCTCCTGTAACTACCTGGCTGAAGGGAGATGAGGTATGTGGGACTTCTCTGTGCCCTGGGTTTTTTCCCTCTCAGCTCTGCTGGATGACCTTAGGCAAGTTTCTTTCCATCTCTGAGCCTCGGTTTCATTGTCTGGAAAATGAAGATGAGATTCCTTCTTTAGATAATTGTTTTGAAGATTAGAGGTTATATTTGTCTATCACTTAATATAGGGCCTAGCACATGGTGGGCATTCCATCCATTTATCCATCCATGCATCATACAGCCATCCAGCCAGTAATTCATTCATTCATCTATCTATATATTCATATATCTGTCCATCCATCGGTCCATTGATCCATCAGTTCATCCACCCACCCATCCATCCACCCACCCACCCATCCATCCAAAAATATTTTAATCCTGCATGTTCCAGACCCTGGGGCAGTTCAAGTTTTCTTCTCACCTCTGGGATTCAGTTTCCTCTTCTATAAAACGGACAGACTTACCTCAGTCTTCAAGCATTCATTCACTCAGCAAACATCCTCTAAGGGTTCCTCTATGCCAGGCATTGAGGATACCACCATGAATCAGACCCAGCCCCTGCCTTCCAAGAGCCTTCAGACTTGGCAAGAGACAGTCACGGTCCAGGGAAGTCAGGGCTGAGAAAAAGGGAGATACCAGAAGCTATGAGAATCCAAGATATGGAGCCATCACTTTCAGCTGCGGGCATACAAGAATGCTTCCTGGAAGAGGTGACTCTTAGACGGGTCCTAAAGGATGAGTAAGAGTACTGCAGATAGAGAAGTGGGACAGGGAATTGCATGTATAGGGGACAACCTTGCAAAGGTTGGGGACAAAACAGTCTAGTGTTTTAAGTTAAGGATGGTGCTTGAAGGGTGAGGAATACAGGTGGGAGGAATGAAGAGGCTGGGTCTAGATCCAAAGGACCCTCAAAGGCCAAGTCCAGGGCCTTGTACCTTGTGTGATGGTAAGAAACCACTGAAGAATTTTGAGCAGGAGAGGAAGCATAGTCAGATCTGGGTTTGGGGAGAAGATGTAAAGCAAGGCAATCTCTTGGCTGCATCTAGGTATTCTCAGCCACTGAGGGCAGGACCCGCATTGAGCAGCGGGTTGACTACAGCAGCTTTGTGATTGAGAGTATTGAGCGATCGGATGAGAACCGCTACACTGTCAAAGTCGCCAGCTCCTCTGGTGAATGCATGACATCCATCTTCGTGAAAATTGTGGGTGAGCAGAGACAGCTGGAAGCGCTGGGCCGGGGGGGTTTCCCAGAGGCTATGAGGGGGTCCCTAACTCCCCTGCCTCCCCCTAGATGTCCCAGACCCCCCGGAGGCTGTGTGGGTCACCTCAGTTGGAGAGGATTGGGCCATCCTTGTCTGGGAGCCACCCAAGTACGATGGGGGTCAGCCAGTCACCGGTGAGTGCCCATATGCTAGTGTCCCCATAACCTCTGATCTCCCCTACCCCATAACTTCTCCTTTGCCTCCCAGATTCCTTAGGATCCTCAGTGACCTCCCTTGAAGACCTTGTTTTTCATCTTTGATGCCTCACAGTCCCTGTGGTCTTCCCCCATGAGTCTTTTCTCCCTAGGGACCTGAGAATTCTCACTTTGGCCAATGACCTGGAATTTTTTTGTGTGACCCATGACCTTTTCTTGATTCCTAACCCCATGACTGGTGGCCTCTAACTACTCTGTGATTCCTGAGATCAACTCTGGGCCATGTGACCTCTTTGATGTGACTCTTACTGCCCTACCTGACTTGTACCCCCACAACCTGCTTCTCTCTGGTTGGGGATCCTCCAGGGTACCTCCTGGAGCGGAAAAAGAAGGGCTCTCAGCGTTGGATGAAGCTGAACTTTGAGGTCTTTACGGACCTGACCTACGAGTCCACCAACATGATCGAGGGCATTTTCTATGAGATGCGAGTCTTTGCTGTCAACGCCATTGGAGTCTCCCAGCCCAGCATGAACACCAAGCCTTTTATGCCCGTTGGTAAGGCCTCCCTGGCCCCCTTACTGACCCCTCATCAATCTCTGACCCACATCCTGCCCTGCTATTGATCTCTGACCCATTGATCTTAAACCAGTCTGTTGACTTCCATTCCCTCTCATCCAACAACCCAATATATTGACTCCCAACCCCACCCATCTTCTTGATCCCTTCCTGATCCAATACATTCACCATTGTGACCCCAGGGTCTGTGCTGACACCTGCATTCCCTACTGACTTCTGATCTACCAGACTAACACCTATCCCTGACCTTGGAGACCTAACTGTCCCTTGATATTTTGTTGTTTTAATGATCCTTGATGATACTTCATTGCTCATTGACCTTTGTTCCACCATTTGATCCCTTTCCTGACTAGTGACTCCAGCTCTGACCCTTGGCCGTTCATTTATCCCCACAACCCCTTTCTCTGGATCTTTATAGCACCCACGAGTGAACCCCAACACCTGATGGTGGAGGACGTGACAGACACCACTGCCACACTCAAGTGGAGGCCTCCAGAAAGGATTGGGGGAGGCGGCATTGATGGGTACCTGGTGGAGTACTGCCTGGAGGGATGTGAGTGACCCTGTGAGGCCTGGTGGGGGGCAGTGGCTCACGCAGAGCCTTACCAATATCCAATCCAGGGAATTTAAAATGGGGAAGTGCAGGGAGAGATGACCGGTTTAGTGGGCTGCCCTTGTTCTGTGTTTGTAATAGCATGAAGTTCTACGATGGATGGGTGAAGTCAGGCCCCCAGTGATCAGCTTGCCCCTTCTCCCTTCCTTCCCTAAAGCCATTCTCCATCCAGCAATACCTTTTCTTCCATCTATCCTTCAATGCATCTATTTATCTAATACCTATATCCCTCCTTTCCATCCTCCTTTCTCTTTCCTTCTTTTTATCCATTTGTCCATCCATCCATCTATCCATATTAACTTTTCTTCCTTCCTTTCTTCTATCCATTTTTCCATCCATCCACCCATCTATCCATATTTAACTTTTCTTCCTTCCTTTCTTCTATCCATTTGTCCCTCCATCCATCCACCCATCCATTTCCTTATTTTCTTTCTTCCTTCCTTATTTTGTTCCCTCCTAATCATTTGCCTATAGTCATCCATCCATCCATCCATCCATCCTTCTGTCCATCAGAAAATCTTTTGGATCATCCAACCATGTATCCATCTAGTAATTTTTTTCTCCTATATATCTACTTACCACCATCTTTCCTTTCTTCCTTCATTCCTCTCCTCCTTCCATCTATCCACTCATATGACTATCTAATCATCTATTAACAACCTCTTTGTCCACCTGTCCATCCATCCTTCCTTCCATCCATCCATCCACCTTTCCATCATCCACTGAACAAACATTTATTGAGCACTAACTCCACGCCAGACCCAGTGCCATGCCTACAGAGATATCTCCAACATGGTCATCTCCCTGGAAAGACAGACCCGAATACAGATCATCTCGACACCATATCCCAGGCTTCAAAGTCAGACAGATGTGGGTTCCAATCCTGCCCCTGCACTTTCTAATTGTGTGACCTTGGGCAAGTCTATGATCCTCAATTTTTTCATCTCAAAATGGTGAAGACAATTCCTATCTTGCCAGGGTACAGTGATGACTGCATTCGGTAATGCATGTACATGAATGGATGGTTGAACTCATCAGCTTCTTCCCTCTTTCTCTTCCCAGAGCTTTTTACCTTGTTCCTACCCATGCTGACTCCTCCGCCCATCTGCCAGAGCCACTCTGATGTTTCAGAACCAAGCTTGTTAGAGTTTAGTCTGTTGATACTTGGTCTGACCCACACTGGTTTACCAATCCATGGGATCAAGCCAAGAGAGAAAGGCACATCACAAAAAAAGCAGGAAATTCGTTGAGCTGTCTCTAACCACTACCCCCAGTTTTCCCTCCCACGCACACCTGTATGCTTGCTCCCCTGGCCTCCTCCTCTCGTACCCTCAGAACATGTTCCCTGTTCCTTTGTCCCAACTTTGGCAGGAGAGCAGAGCTTAAAAGAGCTTTCTAGAATCAGACTGATCTGGGTTTCCTTCCTAATCCAACACTTCCTAGCTATGTGACTTTGGCAAGTTCCTTAACCTCTCTGGGCCTCAATTTACTGATCTCTAAAATGAGAATAACAGGGTTGAGGTGAGAATTGATGAGTTAATACATGTGGCACCCTTAGAACCTGGTCACAGTAAGTGCTAACAAATGTAAACTGCTGCTGCTGTTGGTGCTATGGTGAGGCCCAAGTGACCAGAAGGCCAGTGAGTTGAGGGTGTGCAGAAAGGCTCGGATGAAGGTCTTGAGCTCCACCAGCCATGCTCCTCTCTCCACAGCCAATGAATGGATCCCCGCTAACACGGAGCCTGTGGAGCGATGTGGCTTCACTGTCAAGAATCTCCCGACAGGAGCAAAAATTACCTTCCGGGTTGTTGGGGTCAACATTGCGGGACGCAGCAAGCCGGCCACCCTGACCCAGCCGGTCACCATCCGGGAGATTGTAGGTGAGTGACCCCTGATGTCCTAAAGACCAAGTTGGTGTCATTTGACCTGCCTTTTCAGTGGTCATCATTAGGGTTTCCCCGGTCAACCTCATCACCATTGGTCTCTCCATCCCTGAACTGTCCCCTCAACCCAGTGCTGACCCCCTTCCCTGTCTGTGCCCTCAGAGAAACCCAAGATCCGTCTCCCCCGCCATCTTCGCCAGACTTACATCTGTAAAGTGGGGGAACAGCTCAACCTCCTCATCCCCTTCCAGGTACAGGGAGCTAAGGGACCAGGGGTGAGGGGTAAGCTCCCACAGGTGGCACCCCTGTGTGTGGAGGGCCTGGTCTGACCTCTTTCCCCCCTCTGTGGGCACCCCCCAGGGGAAGCCGCGGCCCAAGGTGGTGTGGACAAAGGGTGGGGCGCCACTGGACTCATCCCGGGTGCACGTGCGGACCAGCGACACGGACACAGTGCTATTCGTGCGCCAGGTGGCCCGCTCTGACTCCGGGGAGTACGAGCTGAGTGTGCACATCGAGAACATGACGGACACAGCCACCATCAGCATTCGGGTCGTGGGTGCGCAGCCAGGATAGGGTGGGGGGCAGGCAGGGAGAGGGGGACCGTGGGCTGGGAGAGGAATGGACCAGGAAGTGATGAGAGCAGGGGAGGAGTAGGAACTGAGATGAAGACAGGAGAACAGGTGAGGAAGAGGTATTGGGATGGAGAGAGGAAGTGAAAAGACATGGGGGTGGGGAAGGAGGTGAGGCAAGATGAGGATGGCACAGAGGTGAGGAAATAAGAGAGACTGAAATGAGGGAGGAGGTAAGGTGGGAATGGGGTAAGGTGAGGAAATGGGAGTGGGGAAATGTATGAGGTATTAGAATGGGGAGACGAACTGAGGAGAGGCAGAGATGGGAAGAATTGAGGAAATAAAGAAAAACTGGCATGAGAAGAGAGGGTGAGGAGGGTAGTCATGGGAAGACACGGTGAGGAGGGTGGGTTTGGGGACAGGAGGTGAGGAGGGGCAGGTTGGGGACAGGAGGTGAGGAAGGGCAGGTTGGGGACAGGAGGTGAGGCGGGTGGGTGTAGGGGAGGAGGAGAGGAGGATGGGTGTGGGGAGAGGCGTGAGGAGGGTGAGTATAGGGGCAGAAGGTGAGGAGGGGCAGGTGAGGGGAGAGGAGGTGAGGGGGGTGGGTGTGGGGAGAAGAGGCGAGGATGGACAGATGTGGGGACAGAAGGCGAGGAGATGGACAGGTGAGGGACTAGAGCTGGCATGTGACCCTCCCCACCTCAGAAAAGGCAGGGCCAGCAGAGAACGTGATGGTGAAGGACGTGTGGGGTACCAATGCCCTAGTGGAGTGGAAGCCCCCCAGAGACGATGGGAACAGTGAGGTCACGGGCTATCTCATCCAGAAAGCTGACAAGAAAACCATGGTGAGAGACAAGAGGGTGGGGAAGGGGTGGGCAGAGGGGAAGAGCTGGTGAAGTCGCCAGAGCAGGTGTTGCTGTTCCCATTTCACAGCTGGGGACACCGAGGCTCTGAGAGGTAGGGAGGACAGGCTGGGGCTGTGAGGGAAGCCTTTTGGCTGAGATTTGATACATGATGGGTTTTCTTTATTTTTTCCTGGGGTAAAATTCACATAACAAAGTTAATCACGAACCATTTTAAAGTGAGCGTACATTCAGTGGCATGCACAATGTTGTGCAACCATCACCAACATCTAGTTGCAAAACATTTCCGTCACCCCAAAAGCAACTCCATACCCATTAAGTAGTCACTCCTCATTTCCCTCTCCCAAGCCCCTGGCAACCACTAATCTCCTTTCTGTCTCTATGGATTTGCCTACTGTGGATTTTTCATATAAATGGAAGCATACGACGTTTGTCCTTTTGTGTCTGGCTTCTTTTACTCAAATGTTTTCAAGGTTTATCCATGTCATTGCATGTATCAGAACTTCATTTTTCTTTATGGCTGAATACTGTTCCACTGTATGGATGTACCTCATTTTATGTCTCTATTCATCAGCTGATGTACACTTGGTTGTTTCCGTCTTTGACTATTGGGAATAGTGCTGCTATGAATGATGTTTTTTAAAATTTATTTTTATTTTTGTTGTTGTTGAGAATATACACAGCAGAACATACACTAACTCAACCATTTCTATACGTACAATTCAGTGGCATGGATTACATTCTTCAAGTTATGTAACCATTCTCACTCTCCTTTTCCAAGTTGTTCCTCCCCCAATAACATAAACTCACTGTCCCCTAAGTTTCCTATCAAATCTTTCAAGTTGCTGTTGTCCATTTGCTCCCTTATAGATTGATCTTAAAAGAGCACAATGCTCAAGGCAGACATTCTTTACTAATTAAACTGAACTACTGTTTGGTTTTAAGAAGACTTCAGGGATATTTTTGGTTTAAGGTTTAACAATTATCTCAGGGCGACAGTTTCAGTGGTTCATTCAGCCTCAATGACTCCAGAAAGTCTGGATTCTGTAAGAATTTTACATTCTGTTCTGCATTTTCCCCCTTTTGATCAGGATTCTTCTATAAATCTTTGATCAAAATTGATGGGTTTCTTTAAAGTGGGGCACACTTGGGTGTGCTTCTCACAACTTGGTCCTTCTTGTGTCTCTGTCCACTTGTGTGTCCCTGTGGGCCTGACCCTCCCTGTCCCTGTACTAGGAGTGGTTCACCGTTTATGAACACAATCACCACATCTCCTGCACTGTGTCTGACCTCATCGTGGGCAATGAATACTATTTCCGTGTATACAGTGAGAACGTCTGTGGACTCAGTGACTCACCTGGTGTCTCCAAGAACACCGCCCGTATCCTCAAGACAGGTATTGCCATTGCCCTCCACAGAGGTCCACCCTTGACTCCTCTGACCCTCTCCTTCTCCCCTGGGCTCAGTGTAGATGGCACCTGGTGACACAGGAGAGGGGGTTGGGTTTTTTCCCTGGGTTGGGGGACATTCAGGCAGCTCAGTCACCTTACAGGTGTATCTCCTCTCATCCAGGACTCACCTTGAAACCGTTTGACTACAAGGAGCACGACTTCCGAACAGCTCCCAAGTTCCTGACACCTTTAATAGACCGGGTGGTTGTGGCTGGGTATTCCACTGCTCTCAACTGCGCTGTCAGAGGCCACCCTAAGGTGCCTGGGTGGGGCCCCAAGATCTGTGGGTATGTGTGTGTCCAGAACCTTGGGAGGAAATCTTCAATAAGATAAAACCTCACTCCCCACCATGCCTGCTCTTCATCCCTGAGATTCATGGGATCTGCTCGTTTTAAGCCCATTTCCAACACCAAAAGCCCACTTCTGACACCAAAAGCACATTGCTCCCTTTCTTTCTATGGCTCAAACTGGACTTTCTAGCTTCCTGTTTCTCTCCTTCCCCGGCCAGAGCCCAGGTCTCAGAAATCACTCTGGCTTTCTGCCTTTTTCTCTGCCCCATGGCTTCCAGGTGACAGCTCATCTTGGCAGCCTGAGGAAATGGTCATTCAGTCTCTTTTTGTCTAATTCAAGGACAAATGTCAATCCCTCTGAAACAGAAACCATTGGAGGGTTTAAAATTTCATGGCTTTCTAAAGTCTTCCTGTTTCATCCATTTCCAGACTGATGTTTGGGAATGTGAACACTTGCAACTGTGAGCTCCCGTGACTTGGTTAGATTAGTGGTTGGCAAACTACTGTGGGCTAAAACCAGCCCACCACTTGTTTTTCTAAACAAAGTTATATTGAAACACAGCTATGACCATTCGCTTACACGTGGTCTATAGCTGATTTTGTGCTACCAAGGGCAGAGCTGAGTAGTTGCAACAGAGACCATATGGCCCACAAAGTCAAAACTATTTACTATCTGGCCCTTTACAAAAAAAGTCTGCCAACCTCTGATCTAGACCTCAGGGTTTTTTAGCTTCAGCCCCCTTAGGCACACCATGGATTCATTAGTTCACCTACTCCATCCACTCATGTTATTCACTAACTCCACTCACTCATTCATTCTACTCCTTTATTCACTTACCAATCCATTCATTTGTTCATTTCATTCATTCACTCCATTTACCTCATTCATTCATTCACTCATTTCCATTTATTCTTTCAACAAACATATTCAGAGGCTTTCTATGTGCTGTATGAACCAGACAAGAAGCCCCTGTATGCTGGGGGAAACTGACATTAACCAAAAGTCACTCAAGTAAAAGATTATAAATGGTGGTAAGTCTGGTAGAGAAGTGCAGGCAGTTATGAGAGTGTAAAATAGGTATTCCCATCCTGGTCTGAGTCCTTGGGTGGTGCAAATGGTTAATGTGCTTGGCTGCTAACTGAAAGGCTGAAGGTTTGAGTCAACCCAGGGGTGACTCAGAAGAAAGGCCTGGCAATCTACTTCTGAAAAATCAGCCACTGAAAACCATACAGAGCACAGTTCTACTCTGACACACAGGGGATCAGCATGATTTGGAATTGACTCAATGACAACGGGTTAGTGGTCCCAGTCTGGGGGCCAAGGAGTGGCATATGAGCTGAAACCTGAAGGATAAGAAGATGCAAATTAAGTAAAAAGAGGAGGGAAGGGCAGTGTTGAAAGAGGGAACAAGTCAGTGCCAAGGTCCTGAGATGGGAGCCTAGTCTGGTCTATTCTGAGGTGTGGCTGGAGTAGAGGGAGGGAGGGAGAGGGGTGAGGTGAATATGTTTTACCTGTGGCAAGGACATGAATTTTGGGGGGCCAAAGGGTGTAATGTTATGGATTGAATTTGTCCCCCTAAAATGTGTGTCAACTTGGCTAGGCCATGATTCCCAGAATTGTGTGGTTGACCTCCATTTAGTGATCTGATGTGATTAACCCACGTGTTGTAAATCCTAACCTCTATGATGTTAATGAGGCAGGATTAGAGGCAGTTATGTTAATGAGAGGCAGGACTCAAGCTACAGAATTAGGTTGTATCTTGAGTCTATCTCTTGAGATATAAAAGAGAGAATTGAGTAGAAAGGAGAGGGACCTCATTATTATCAAGCAAGAAGAGCTAGGAGCTGAGCTTGTCCTTTGGACCCGGGGTCCCTGCACTGAGAAGCTCCTAGAGCAGGAGAAGATTAATGACAAGGACCTTCCCCCAGAGCCAACAGAGAAAGCCTTCCTCTGGAGCTGGCGCCCTGAATTTGGACTTTGCGCCTCCTAAACTGTGAGAGAATAAATGTCTGTTTGTTAAAGCCATCCACTTGTGGTATTTCTGTTATAGCAGCACTAGATAACTAAGACAAGAGCTGAAGACAGAGAAGTAATGGGGGCCAGGTTATCTAGGACCCTGTGAGCCACAGGAGTGAGCTCTTTATTCTGAAAGCAATGTTGTCGTTGTTGGGTGAGTCAATTCTGACTCATAGCAACACCATGTGACAGGGGAGAACTGCCCTATAGGGTTTTCTTGGCTGTAATCTTCACGGGAGCAGATCTCCAGGTCTTCTCTCTCATGGAGCTGCTGGGTGGGTTCAAACCACCAACCTTCTAGTTAGCAGTCCAGTGGTTAACCACTGTCACCAGGGCTCCTATTCTGACAGCAACAGGGAGCCCTTAACCACTACCCTGTGAAGTAGAGAATATCAACCTGCTTTTAGAGGAGACTGAGGGTCAGAGAGAAGTGACTAGTTCTAGATCATTCAGCAAGGAGGTGGCACAGCCAAAACTAGAATCCAAATCTACTTCCAGAGCCCCCTTGTGCCATCACCCAGGTAATCCTAATTTTGCCTCCTCTCCTGCTCCCCTCAACAGCCGAAGGTGGTCTGGATGAAGAACAAGACGGAGATCCATGAAGACCCCAAGTTTCTGATGATTAATCACCAGGGGGTCTTGACGCTGAACATCCGCAGACCGTCCCCCTTTGACGCTGGGACTTATTCCTGTCGGGCTGTCAACGAGCTGGGGGAGGCGCTGGCTGAGTGTCGGCTGGATGTCCGAGGTGAGGATGCGGGGTCCGCCACATGTTGCCTGGCTGACCCCTACTTATGCCCTTTACAAACACAGCAGGAGGCCCCATGCTGAGCGATGCTAGGATCCTGAGAAGAGTTAGCCTTGGGCCCTCTAATTAGGAAGCTGAATTTAGACACTAACAGGAACAATGCAGGGTGATTAGTGCGATTCATGAAGGTGGCCCCAGGGCATTATGGGAGCTGGGGTGGAGGCAGCACCTGACCCAGCCTGGGCAGGAGGGAGAGTCAGAGAAGGTTTTCCAAAGGAGTTGAAGAACAAATAAAAGTGAGGTGAATGAGGAGGAGAAATTTGTTGTTAGTTGCCATGGGGAGCTCTGGTGGTGCCGTATTTAAGAAATCAGCTGCTAACCAAAAGGTCGGCAGTTCAAATCCACTAGCTGGTCCTTGGAAACCCAGCACCCAGCAACAACAAGGTGGCTTCAGGGACAGGTCCTAAATTCATGTGCCCCCACCACACCCCTGTGTGCTGCATTCATTGACCAAACGAAGGGAGCAAGTTTACGCCCAGTTCCCTGGGTGGGGCTAACGGTTAACGCTCGACCACTAGCTGAAATGTTGATGGTTCGAACCCACCGAGAGGCGCCGTCGAGGACAGACCTGGCCATCTGCTTCTGAAAAGGTCACAGCCATTGAAAACCCTATGGAGTAGCTCTATTCTGCACACATGGAGTCACCATGAGTCAGAATCGACTCGATGGCATTTAAAACCAAAAAACCCAAACCCACTGCTGTTAATTCCAATTCACAGTGACCCTATAGGACAGAGTAGAACTGCCCCATAGGGTTTCTCAGGCTGTCATCTTTGTAGGAGCAGACTGCCAGGTGTTTTCTTCCATGGAGCTGCTGGGTAGGTTCGAACTGTTGACTTTTCAGTTAGTAGCTGAGCCCTTAACCATTGCACCACCAGGGCTTCTTACTCACCCCTTTCTCATTTCCCCCACAGTGCCGCAGTGAAACCTTCTCTTCTGTGAATCAAGATAATTGCCTGCTGAGTCCTCATCCCAATCCCTGACCTTCCTGGTCTGTGCTTCCCTTTCCCAAGTTATCATTAAGAACCTGAGTTGATGAGTCTTGTCTCAGACTCTCACGTGCGTGTACTTCAATTTGCAATTGAGGGTGGTCATGTTTGGGTTGGTGATGGGGGCCACCATGTTGGAATGGCAACCACAGTAAGGTAGCCATGATGAAACCTACCATAGTGAGCCAGCCATCTTGGAACAGCTACTTTAGTGAGGCACTCACGTAGTGAGGTAGCCATCTTGAGACAGCTACTCTAGCGAGGCAAGCATGTTGCACTGGCAACTACGAGGAGTCAAAGAAGATTCAAGACCATGTTGAGACAGCTAGACTAGGAAAGGTACTCTAGTGAGGTAGCCATGTTGGAATAGTGGGCAGTACCTCATAGGGGTGGCCCCAAAGAGCTAAGACATGGTGAACTGAAGACCAGGTTGAGGCAGCCACACTGGAAAAGCTACTTCAGCATGGCAACCATGTTGAACTGATGACGACAATGGTGAAACTGCTCACTGACCTGGAGGTTGGTTCTTAATTGGCCGATCTTTATTAACTTTAATAATTTATCTGTCTGGCCCTGTGGGAGGGCGTTTTTAATCTCTGGTCCTTTGGTGATCTCAAAAGATGTTGGAAGAGTCAGAGTCCCCAGAGTTCTGAAATCTGTGGGTCAAGCCTGGCTTCCATAGCTGGAGTCTGGGTACAAGAGAGAGCTTATCTCAGAGGCCTTGATCTGCAGGTGTTCTGCAGTTTGGAGGCAGGAGAGGGAGGCTCTGTACTTACAGGGAAGGCAGGGGAGAGGGGTGTATCGAGAGGAAGAGGCTACACAGGTTGCACTACTCCCACCTTCAAGGACTGGCCCCTTCCCTCCTCCCCTCCCCCAGGCCCTACAGGGAACTGGGGCATCTGGCCTGGTGGACCCCACACCTTCAGGGCCCAGATAGTCGCGTCCTAGATCCCACTGTGGTAGGGAAAGGGGAGAGAGGCTACCAGGTGTCCCCGATTAGGAAAATACAGCCACCTTAGCTAGAGGCACCAAGGCCCTGGAGACCCTGCCCTGCTTTGTGATCCTGCTGTCTTTACTCTGAGGCTTCACACACTTCAAGGACCCAGGAGTCCAGTCCCCCAGCCCCCTCCTCCCTCAGACCTGGGAGTCACAGCTCCCAGCCCCTCCCCCTTCAAATCCAAGAATCCAGGCCCCCAGCCCCTCGACCCTCAGACGGAGGAGTCCAGGCCTCCCAGCCCCTTCCTCCATCAGACCCAGGAGTCTGGGCCCCTGGCCCTCTCCTCCCCCAGACCGAAGAGTCCAGTCCTCTAGCTCTCTCCTCCCCCAGACCGAAGAGTCCAGTCCTCTAGCTCCCTTCTCCGTTCCCCTCCACCGACCTGGAACCACTCACCGCCCCGCCCCCACCTCCTCCCATGCTTCTAGCTTCACCTGGTCCTGCCACCTCACCTCATCCCCCTCCTCTAGGGCCACAGCGGCCTCATCGTCCTCCTCTTCCTCCTCCTCCCCCCCATCCTCGAGCGCTGAGTCCTCCTGCGTGAAGGGCACGGCTCCCTGTGCCGAATGGAAGCGAAGGCGGTAGAGCAGCCGCACCCACTGGCCGAACTCCCGGTCGCGGGTCTCGTGCGGGGCCCGCAGCTGCAGGTAGAAGGCACGGCCAGTGCGGAACTTGACCTTGAGCTGCCGGCGGCACTCGTCGTGGACGAAGAGCTGGACGAACTGCAAGGGGAACAGCCTGGGCGGGCAGGAGGGGCGGCCTCTGGGTCCCAGCTTCCCTGAGCCCCATCCCCCCACCTCACCCCCCCCCGCACCCCGGTCTGGAAGAAATTCTTTTTCCACTGTCTCCTGAATTTCAATCCATCTCCACCTTTATTCCAAAGTCGTGGATTTAAATCCACCTGTAAGAGTTCTCTAAGGAGCCCTGGTGGCGCAACAGTTAAGTGCTCGGCTGCTAACCGAAAGTTGGCGTTCGAACTCACCTAGAAGCTCCTCGGGAGAAAGACCTGGCGATCTGCTCCTGTAAAGATTATAGCCTAGGAAACTCTATGGGGGCAGTTCCACTGTCACATGGGGACCCTGAGTCAGAATCAACTCCACGTAACCCAACAACAAAGATTTCTCTCACCTTTGTGGCTCCTGCTGGCCCTCTCTCCTAAAATCCAGAATGCACAACTGCACAGGTGAAATCTCCATTTGGTACCGGATCATCCGACACTGGACATATAACGTCCAAAATCCAAGCGTCTGACCTTCCCTCACCCCAAATGGGCTCCTCTCTGACCCCATTCCAGCTCCATCCGGCCCGACTCAACTTTCTCTCACACACCCTCATCCAATTCTCTCAGCAAATGTTGGTAGCTCCACCTTCAAGAAGTACCCACACAAGGTCCACTTCTCACTCCCTCCACTGTCCACGCCCAGCTGCCCCCTCACTTGGCTCCCTGCCTCTGCGCTTGACCCCCAGTCTGTTTCCCACATCGCCACCAGAGGGCTCCTGTGAAAACCTGAGTCAGCTACCTCCCCTCTCTGTTCACATCTCTTGGGTGGCTCCCACCTTCCTCAGAGAAAACAGTCCTCACGGTGGCCCACATGGCCCTGTAGGAAGTATGGCTCCCCTTCTGAGCTCATGTCCCACACTTTCCCCTCAATTACTTGCTGTTCCTCCAGAATATCAAGCACTGGTAAACACACCAGACTCAACCTGCCTCAGAACTTTGCACTGGCTGTTCCTTCTGCCTCAATTGCTCTTCCCCCTTCTTTTCCCTTAGGTCCTCCTCAAGGGGTACCTTCATGCCCTCCCTGTCTTATATGTCTCCACCTAACAAATGGTTCAGTATTTTGTCTGCCTTCCCAGTAGACTGTGAGCTCCCTGAGGGCAGAGATTTGGGCCCAGTTTGTTTCCTACACATAGTAGGTGCTCAACAAATAAACCCATGGCCTTTGAGTTCATTCTGACTCATGGAGAGAGTAGAACTGCCCCATAGGGTTTCCAAGGCTGCAATCTTTATGGAAGCAGACTGCCACATCTCTCTGGTGGGTTCGAACTGCCAACCTTTTGGTTAGCAGCTGAATGCTTAACCACTGCACCACCAGGCCTTCTGCTTAACAAATGCTTGTTGAGTATTTGAATGAATGAATTGCTCAGGCTCCCAGTGTGGCACTGAGCTTGATTCAAGGTCTAACAGGACAGATGAGGAAAACTGAGTCAAGAGAGGGTGGGTGACTTGCTCCAGGTCACCCAGCTGGGATGTGAGCCCAGGCCGTCCATGCTCTTAAACACACCCTGTGGGCCAGCAATACTACCTGTAGGAATTGATCTTAAGACTCTCTCACACCTGCACACAGACTTCTACACAAGGATGTCCCAAGTGAGGAGGGGTTCCATTGCCTGTAACCCCAAGACACCAGGCAGCCAGCACCTCAATCGACTACTGTTATTATGCCCCCCAAATGGAAGAATAACAACTGGCATTTATGGAGTGCTTACTGTGTGCCAGGCACTGTTCCAAGTGCTTTATGAATACTAACTCTGGAGGAGGGCTCTTCCCTTATCACTGTTTTCCAGATGAGGAAACCTGAGGCACAAACAGGTAGGGAACTTGGCCAAAGTCAGTGAAGAAGAGGTGAAGCCAAGGTTTGAACCTAGGCCATTTGAAGGCAGGTATTTGTTCCAAGATGGTCCCTGGCACATAGTAACAGTGGGAAGTGGACATGTTGCCCAAAGGGGTGGAGTTTGTTAATCTTGTATGTCCAAAAAAAGGCTCTGGTGGCTGTACTCATGCTGATATAAAATGAATATGCATATAGTGCTTATGAGGGAACAAGCAGTGGGAAATAGCATACAGTATGTGTCTGACACACACATACACATGCCTATCAGTAATTAAAGGAACCCTGGTGGCACAGTGGTTACGAACTTGGCTGCTAACCAAAAGGCTGGCAGTTCAAATCCTCCAGCTGCTCCTCGGAAGATCTGACAGTTGGCTTCTGTCAAAATTACAGCCTTGGAAACCCTACGGGGCAGTTCAACTCTGTCCTATAGGGTCGCTGTTAGTTGGAATCGACTCGACAGCAACAGGTTTTTTAGGTCTAAGTGCTTGGCTGCTAACTGAAAGGTTGGCGGTTTGAACCCACCCATAGGCTCCAAGTGAGAAAGACCTGGTGATCTGCTTCCATAAAGATTACAGACAAGAAAACCCTATGGGAGCAGTTCTACTCTGTCACATGTGGTCACTATGAGTTGGAATTGACTTGCTGGCACCTAACAACATCTGTAACTGCTCCAGAGGAGTCCCTGGGTGGTGCAAACAGTTAACACATTTGGCTGCTAACCAGAAGGCTGGAGGTTCAAGCCTACCCAGAGGCACCACAGAAAAGCCTGACAACTTCCAAAAAACCAGCCATTGAAAACCCTATGGAGCACGGTTCTACTCACACACGTGCACACTTGGAGGTCTCAGTGAGTTGGAGTTTACAGCCAGCTGGTTTAACTGCTCCAGAATAGCTCAGGGGCTGCAAGCTGATTAGATTTGGGGGGCCAGGGAGAGCATCTTGAGGCTGCATTTGCAGAGCAAGCTCACCATTTCTATTTGATGGGATGTTTATTTGCAGGGAAGGAGCCCTGGTGATGCAGTGGTTAAGCACTCAGCTGCGAATGCAAAGGCTGGCAGTTCAAATCCACCAGCCAATCCACGGGAGAAAGATGTGGCAATCTGTTTCTGTAAAGATTTCAGCCTTGGAAACCCTATGGGGCAGTTCTACTCTGTCCTATGGGGTCGTTATGAGCCGGAATCAACTTGAAGGCAATGGGTTTGGGTTTTTGGGTTTTATTTGCAGGGTGGGGTAGGGTGCTGAAGTAGCTTATAAGAGGGTCAAAGCCCCTCACCCCTCAGTACCACCATGAGTGTTTTTCCAACTGTACTCTTTTTTGAGTGGGGAAGTCAATTGGTGGGGCACTAGTATTTCAAACAAAGGGAATATTATACAATACAATATAGAATAGAGTACTGCTTTGTGAAACTTGTTATAAACCAGTTGTAGTCAGTTCAGTCCAGCTCATGGCAACCCTGTGTGTTAGAGTAGAACTGTGCTCCACATGTTTCTCAATGGCTGACTTTTCGGAAGTACATCTCCAGGCCTTTCTTCGGAGGAATCTCTGGGTGGACTCGAACCTCCAACCTTTAGATTAGCAGCTGAGTACTTAAACGTTTGCACCACTAGGGACTCCTTTTAACTAACAAAAACCAAACCAAACCCACTGCCATAGAGACGATTCCGATTCATAGGGACCCTATAGGACAGGGTAGAACTGTCCCATAGGGTTTCCAAGGAGCAACTAGGGGATTTGAAGCGCTGACCTTTCGGTTAGCAGCCCAGCGCTTAACCACTGCACCACCAGGGCTGTAAATAGCCTCAAGCGAACTAGTTTCGGTCAGAATCAGATTCTGCCACCAACTGCATTACCAAAAAATCTTTTGGATTTCAAAATCGTAGACAAAGGACTGTGGACTTGTGTGTGGGTCACAATGCAAGTTTCTTTCTTCCTTTCTTTTCTGTGTTTTCTCTCTTATCTTCATTTTTGTTTTTGTTTTTCTGTATTTCTTTTTCTGTCTGTTCTGTTTTTCTTTTTCTTTCAGACTTTGTTTTTCTGTGCTTTTTTTTTCTCTTATTAACTCTGGTATGTGGTCAGTAAAGTACCAGCCCCTGGCAGGCAGAATGTTTCAATTATTTACATGTTTCATTATCTGCAGCTGGACAGGGGGTGGAGGTGGGGGTGGAGGTGGGCAGGCGCCAAGGATGATTTTACGCTGTGTGTTTTGCACTGCCTTTTTCAATAAAAAATAAATGAAGTCTGAAAGGGCAGTGTCTGTGTGACATGGAACTCAAGAATCGGAGGTCGGCCATCATCGGCAATCTCGAGGAGCCTCAGGTTCAATCCCAGCTCAGCCCTGACCCCCTGTGGGACCCTGGGCAAGTGGCTCCCCTCTCTAAGCCTCAGATTCTTTCTTTGGAGTATGGTGCTCCTTGTGAGGGTATGAGATGAGAGATGAGATTGTGTGCATGGGCCCAGGGGATACTTGGCACGCAGTATGTGCTGCATAAATGGTCATTCTCCTAACCCCTCCCAGGGTATAGCTGAGGACTGTCCCCCTTGTGTCTATCTGTTGCTGTTGTTAACTGCCATTGAGTCAGCCCCCGACTCATGGGGACCCCATGCACAACAGAACGAGATGCTGCCTGGTCCTGTGCCATCCCCATGATCTGTTGTGGACCAGACCGTTGGGATCCATAGGGTTTTCACCGGCTGATTTTCAGAAGTAGATCGCCAGGCTTTTCTTCCCAGTCTGTCATAGTCTGGAAGTTCCGCTGAAACCTCTTCAGCAACAGGCAAACTTCCACTGACAGATGGGCGGTGGCTGCGCATGAGGGGCACTGGCCAGGAATCAAACCTGGGTCTCCACATGGAAGGTGAGAATTCCACCCCTGAACCACCACTGCCCTCTCATGTCTATCTAGTCCCTGCTTTTTGGCCCCTAGGGATGGCTTGGTCTGGTTCTCCTGGGGGTGGATGACAGCCCAGAGAGGGCTGGCAGCCATCCAAGGCTCCTGGCCCTAGGGGTTGTCTGGATGAGGGGAAGTGCTGCAGGGGATGAGGATGTCCAGAGTTGAGGAAGGAGGCTGGGGTAGGGGCAGTCACCCAAAGAGCTGTAGGCGTCCATTCTCCTTGGCGGGGCCCGCTAGCAGCAATAGGTCTGGGAGTTCCAGGGCTGGACTGGAGGCTGCCACTCCCATGGTGACCTTGTTGGCGACTTCTCCTAACCGGGTCACCTGGGGCCAGGGGTCAGAGGTCAGAGATGGAATATATGAGGGGCAGAATTGGGAAAGAATGAGAGGTTGGAAATTTTGGTAGGGTTAAAGGTCATGAACTAGGCGAGTTAAAAATCAGGGTAGGGGTCAGATATCCTAGGATCAAAGGTCAAGAGTCATATAGGGAAGCAAGGGAGTCAGGGGTGAGGATTCATAGGGAAGCTAAGGGTCTGGATGTAGAGGAGTCAGCGATCATATATTCTGAACTGGGGGTCGGGAATCCCACGAGATGGACGTTATGGGGGAGTGGTCAGAAGCAGGGAGAGCAGGGGTTTCCCAAGTCATGAGGTGAGGCGTCAGGCCAAGGCTCTGGGGTGTGAGGGGGCCCTGGGGCTCCACACCTGCACGAAGTTACTCTCAAAGATGGGGAAGTCCCGCAGCTGGTCGAACTCGCCGCTCAGGAGGTGGCGTTGGAGCCGGCCAGGCCGGCCCGTGAGATAGGCTGGAGCCAGGGAGCGTTCTAGAAGGGCGAAGTTCCGGGGTCTATGTTAGCAGGCTGAGCCCGGGGATGCCACGCGCTAAGGGTTGAGGGTATCCGGGCTCTCAGTCTCCGCTTCACCGACTTCGTCCCACACTGGAGCCTGCCCATGCTCCACTCCCTCCCCCTCGGCCTAGTTCTGCTCCTCACCTGCCATCCCACCTGGTCCCGCCTCACCTGCTCCACAGAGGTCCGACTTTGACTTGCCCGGCTTCATCGCGACACCCCCGCCCCCAGCGGGGAGCGAAAGGAAGAGCCCCAGCAGGCAGCGGGAGGGCGGAGCCGCAGGCTCTGTGACGTCACAAAGTGGGGGACAGGGTTTGTCGACGTCACCGAGAAAGGACCGCGTTGGTGACGTCACGGGAAGGGCGGTGCCCGGAAACCTGAGTGAAGACACTGCCGCCCCGCTGACGTCAGGTCCCGCTTGCCGGGCGGCGTCGGTGCGCAGGCGTTAGGAGCCGGCGCAGGCGCACTGGAAGAGGGATGCGGCACGTTCCTCCCAGCGTGCTCCGCGGCGCTTGGCTCGCATCGGCTGTTTGACAGGTGGGAGGGCAGCGAGATGGCGGCGGCCGGCGCTGGCGCAACTCGGCTTCTCCTGCTCTTGCTGATGGCGGCAGCAGCGCCCAGCCGGGCCCGGGGCAGCGGCTGTCGGGCCGGGGCTGCGGCAAGGGGGGTGAGTTCTTATTGGTTATGCATAAGAGGAGGGGCCGACCGAAGTCCAGGTCCTGGACCTTGAGATCGGTTAAGGTGGAAACGAGGTTGCGCAGCCCCCAGAGTGAAAAAGTGAAAAAATGGTGGAAAGCGAGGCTGCAGTCCTGCATACGATGAAGTGCCCGGGTTGGGAACGAGACCGCACCGGCTGGGAAAGCAAGCAAGAGGAACGTTAGCAAGGCTTTAGCTCATGAATATGCATGAGGGGCGGGGCTCGGCTGGGCTCTTGGCGCCTGCGCGTTCGGTAAGGTGAAAACGAGGCTCCGCCTAAGCCAGAGGTTGGCGAGGAGAAAGAACGTTGGGAATTCGCAACTCTTGAATGAGAAAGTGTTGCCCGGGTGGAATCTTGGCCAATCAGACTTCGGGGCGGTTAATATAAGAAAGATGGAGCGCTCGAGGGATTGGAGAGGAGTTGTGCTTCGTGAATGTGCTTGAGAGGCTGGACTGAATTGTGCCTCGTGAATATGCACGAGGGGGCGGAATCTTGAGCTCTCCCGATTCTTCAATGTGGAAATGAAGTTGCACAGATACTAGGGCGGGTGTAGGTCGGTGGAGGATGCAGAAGTAGGAGAAATTTGAAAGTTGGAGAAAGGGAAGGTGTTGGTCTTGAATATATTTGAGGGGTCGGGGTTCAGACGGCATGCTGGCTGTTGGGGTCGTTAAGGTGAAAACAGGACGCCTGGATATTAGCAAGGAAGTCCTGGAAAGTGCCTTTAAACTCATGAATATTTATGTACGAGCCCTGACCTGCGGATAGTTGCCTTCAAAATGTAGCTTTGGTTTTTTTTGGGGGGAGGGGGGATTCAGATCATGAATATTTATTATGGTTGTTTCCGGTGTGCTCCTGGGCCAGAGTCAGCCATTGGTGTTAATATGAAAATAAGGTCCCTCCCTTAACCCGTCGGTCCTGGGGTCCGTGGGTTCTGCCCTGCCAAGGGCTCAGTAGTCCTCACCTGGGCCTGTTTCTCCTGCAGGCCGGGGCGGAAAGCCGAGAAGGCGAGGGCTGCGGCACAGTGGGGCTGCTGCTGGAGCACTCTTTTGAGATCGGTGAGTCCCCGCCCGACACTCACCACGACCCCGGGAGTCAGGACTCGGGTCCAGGTCCCATTTGGTGCCTGTCAGTTTACTAACATCTTTCTCCTGGAGGGGAGGACATGGGAGAAGAGAAACACTGCTTTTAAATGTCCTTTTGTCTTGTCCACCAGCCGCTACTCGAAAACCCTGTGCGGCAATTCTCCTCTGTCCTGTAGGGTCACTGTAAGTCGGAATCGACTCGACGGCAGTGGGTTTGATTTTGGTTTGTGGTCTTGTTTGGGGAGACTTGGTGGCGCCTTGGATAAGTGCTCAGCTGCTAACCGAAAGGGTCAGCAGTTGGAACCCACCAGCTGCTGTGCGGGAGAAAGATGTGGCAGGCTGCTCCCTTAAAGATGACAGCCTTGGATATCTCATGGGGCAGTTTCTCCTTACCCTGTAGGGTCGCTATGAGTCGGAAAGTACTCAAAGTACTAGTCAGTGCAGCAGCCATCGTTTCAGAGCAGGCTGTTCGGAGCGGTGGCCATAGGCCCTGTGCTGGTTGGCTTGGATAAACTCAGATGTCCTTGTAGCAGTCATTCAAGGTAGTAAGTGTTAGTATTGTCCGTCTTCTAGAAAAGGAAACTGAGGCTTAGAGGGGGAAGTGCACCACACTAGGTCCCTTTGCAAGTGGATAGGAAGTAGGACCGGCTCCAAAGCCCAACTTAAACTGCCATGATTCAGGCGTCCAGGTTCCCGGAGCCCTGATGTCAGTGCTGACAGAGCTAATAATGGAATCTGAGGTCCCAGACCCCTGGGCACTTGTTACAAGCATGGAAGCCCTGCCTTCCTCAGACCTACTGAGTCAGGCCCTGGAATCTGCCAGGAACAGTTCTGTGAATTTCAACAGCCAAGCAGTTGGAGTTTCTGAGCTGCACAAACCTGTATTTTGCAGCTGGGGAAACTGAGGCTCAGAGAGGTTATGTGACTGTTCCCTCGGTCATCTGGCAAGGCAGAGGCAGGGCTTAGGAGCTTTGGAGTTCAGGTGCCTGCTACAGGCTGCGCTGTGGGGCAGGAGGGCAGGCCAGGGTGGGGTGTCCCTGAATTGCAGATGGGAAAATAGAGGCTCCAGATAGGAGGGCAGAGGTGAAGCCGAAGTTCGAATCCAGGTCTCCTGCCCCCTGTGGGGGGCAACGGGTGCTGTGGGAGGGTGGCTGCTGAACCCAGGCTCCCCACAGATGACACCACCCACTTCCGGAAGCGGGGCTCGCTGCTCTGGAACCAGCAGGATGGCACCCTGTCCCTGTCACAGCGGCAGCTCAGCGAGGAGGAGCGGGGCCGTCTCCGGGTGAGGTGGGGCTCGGGCTGTGGGGTGGGACGTCTAGCCATCTGTCTCTCTCAGCAGCCCCCTCTAGCCTCCCTGCATCCCTCCCTCTCTGTCTATGCCTCCCTCCCAGCAGCTGGCGCAGTGGGCCCCAGCCGTCCTCCCAGGGCCTTTGCGTGTGCTGTTCCCTCTGCCCAGCGCTCTGCTCCCCCACAGTCTCCACATGATGACTTCCTCTCCTTTCTCTGCCTACAGTCAGCTAGGATGAGGTTTGGTTGTGAGGAAGACTTGGTCCCCCAAACAGCCATGATTAAACAAGAGAAGGCTCCACTCCTGCTCCCAGGCCTTGCCTGGCCCCCTAGGGGTGGTACAAGGAGGTGGGGGCTCCAGCAGGTTCTTGGGGCAGCAGGTTAAAGGAGGGGACGAAGGGGAGCAGCTGTCTTAGTGAAAGTATGCTAAAGCTCTTGGTCCCCTTCTACTTGGCCATGGGCCAGAGGCAGCTGCAAGGGAGGCTGGGAGACATGGGCCTCATCCTGGCGGCCCCATGCCCAGGGGCGCCTTCGCTGTGGAGGATGCTGGGGGCGGTCCGCCCCAACCCACCTATCCTGCCTGGTACCTACTGACCGTTTCCTGGGCATGGTTCACAGCCATCATTGTATCGTCATCTGTGTCTGTGTCCCCCAGCCTGGGAGCTGTGTAGGGGACTGGCCCACCTCGGGCCTGTGTCAGTGCTCAGTTGAGCTATCAGGCGATGGCAGGGCCCCTGCGTGCCCAGCCCTGTGTGGGGCGCTGCTAGCATGTGGAGATGAGTCAGCCCTGGGCTGGCCTCCGAGAGCTCCCAGCCTGGTGGGGCAGATAGCCCCAGCCACACACACCACGGCCAGATCTGTCCTGTGACAGGCATCCCAGAGCACTGGGAGTCCAAGGAGGTCCTGGCCAGCCCGGGCCCAGGGAGGGCTTACCAGAGGGCCCCTGGCTTGCTATGGGAGTTGGATGTGTAAGCCCTGGCCCTGTGCCTGACAAGGATGGAGTCTCAGGGACGTTGGGGACTATGGGCACCCAGAAGGGGACAAGAGGATGCTGCCTGGGGTGGGAAGGTACCTTTAGTGCTGACCTGTGTACCAGGAGTTCTTTAAACTGGCTTAGGCCCCAAGGAGAATTTATTGGCCCATGTAAGTGTAGAGTTCAGGCACGGGACTTGTGTCATGTACGGCTGGATCCAGGCACGTGAATGGTGTCCTCAGATTCTGCCTTACAGCAGTGCTGGGCTCTGTTCTCCTCTTGGTGGCTTGTCATCAGGTGGGGTGGCCCCTGCTGCTCCAGCCTCACCCACTGGCTGGGCCACCGCAGCAGGAAGAGTCCTGGGCAGACTCAGGTTGCTGGGCCAGGGAGTAAGGGGTGCTAGTTGGGCGAGACTGGGACAGCCTTCCTGCTGGGGGCTCAGTGGTCACCAAGGCCTGCGGGGGCCTGGCATTGTCCCTCTCACCACCACCCCCTCTGCCCTCCCTGCAGGATGTGGCAGCCCTGAATGGCCTCTACCGAGTCCGGGTCCCACGGCGCCCTGGGGCCCCTGAGGGTCCAGAAGCTGGCAGCTATGTCTCCTCCTTTGTCCCTGCGGTGAGTCAGTGACAAGGACCAAGCCCCCTCCCCACTTCTCCCGCCCACCTCCATCTGGTCCCACAGTTCCTGCCTCCAGTGCTGACCAGGCAGAGGACAGGGACCTGGCCCCACCCTTGAGGACCTCCCAGGGCGAGGCATCCAGGGTGGCAGGGGCTTCAGTGGAGGCAGCATGGGACGCAGTGGGGGCCCCAGCAAGGCTAGTGAGCATGAGCTTGTGCGTGAGGGTGGCGGGAGCCATGGAAGGGTTTGAAAGGTGCTTAAGGTGCTTTGTGTCCCCAGAGGAGGGGACGTCCTCAGCCCCCCTGATGTCCTGTGCCCCCGTCTCCCCCCACCCTGCCACAGTGCTCCCTGGTAGAGTCACATCTCTCGGACCAGCTGACCTTGCATGTAGACGTGGTCGGCAACGTGGTGGGCGTGTCGGTGGTGACACAGCCCGGGGGCTGCCGCGGCCACGAGGTGGAGGACGTGGACCTGGAGCTGTTCAACACCACGGTGCAGCTGCAGCCACCCGCCACTGCACCAGGGTGAGCGCTGGAAGGGCTGGCTTCGTCCCACACCTCCTCCTGCTGTCCCAGCGTCTCGCCCGCGCCTCACCACCGCTTCCCTCCACCCACCCAGCTGTCCCCTCACCAGCCCTTCTTTCCTTCCACCCAGCCCTGAGACAGCAGCCTTCATTGAGCGCTTGGAGATGGAGCAGGCCCAGAAGGCCAAGAACCCTCAGGAACAGAAGTCCTTTTTTGCTAAATATGTGAGTGGGACCCCCTGCCCCTCTGCCCCTTCTGTAGGCCCAGGTGGCTGGGCCCTTTGCCCTCTCCTCCCCCGTGGCCCTTGGGGTCCTGTCCGTTACCCTTCAGACCTCCTGAGTGTGGGGCTCATCATGTCCCTTCTGGCCCCTCCCTGAGCCAGGCCTGCATGGAGGTGGGGGTAGGGCTGTGGAGCCCCAGCCCCTGTCAGCTCTGCAAAAAGGTTCTGGAACATCCCAGCTCAGCAGCCTGTCAGGTGGGGAGCTGGGCGGTGCTGGGAACCAGAGAAGCTGGGGGGTGGGGTGCGGGGTGTGGACACTGGGTGGAGTGTGAGGGGAGGCACAGGCATCCCAGTCTCTCGAGTGGGGACTTATTTGGAGGAAGGGCCATGGGAAGGCTGTAAGCAGAGGAGGCATGGGTCGGCTCTGGGGGCTGACAGGAGACCAGAGGGAGGCTGGGACAAGGGCCTAGTGGGGGCAAAGGAGGCCTGAGCTAGGGACGATGTGAGGCTGCAAGGGAGGGGGTGGGCTGAGAGATTTGAAAGGCAAGTGGAGAGTTTGACAGGAGGAATTGGGGGAGGAGACAGGGAGGTTGGGCAGCTGGAGAGCAGACAGGCCAGGTCCGGGAGAACCTGGGAGACTGTGGCCATGTGGGGAGACATTTGGGAGTGCCAGGGCCCAGGAGGCTACCCTAAGCTGGGGCGCAGGGGCTGTGCTGCCAGAAGCAGCTCAAAGGCCCAGGAGGCCTAGCAGGCAGAGGGCTAGTGGGATGGAGGGTGGGTGGATCTGGAGTGGCTGGTCCTGCCTGAGGCGCCGGTCACCTGATTGTGGAGACCAGGGCCAGGCTGCGGGCAAGGACCAGCAAGGAGGCAGTGTGGCTGGAGCAGGCGGAGTGGGTGAGGGCGGGGTGGGAGAGTGCCGAGCCCAGGACACTGAGCCCCACTGCCCCATGCATACTCGGCGCTGACCACAGGCCTGAAGTCAGGACAGCAGGAATAGCCACACTATGGGGAAACTGAGGCCCAGGGGAGGCCATGGTCTTGTCTGAGCGTCCCCCACCCAAGGGTCCCCCACCCATCTGATGGCCGCAGGCCCCGAGGCTGCCCTGACATGTCCCCCCTCCCTCTTCAGTGGCACCTCATCCTGGGGGGGGCCGTGTTGCTCACAGCTCTGCGTCCTGCTGCCCCAGGGCCTGCACCGCCACCGCAGGAGGCCTGAGTGAGGACCCCCCTGCCCTCCCACACCCCACCCCACCTGTAGTGATGTAGGGGACCTGGGCCCCCCCTCACACGGCCTCCCTCATGCCGGCCCCCACCCCTATCCCCTACCCTGGGGTCTAGGGTGAGGACAGAATGATGCTCACACTTACTCCCTCCTCTCTTTCTCCCTGTGTCTGTCTGTCCGTCTTCCTGTCTGCTCTCTGCCCGCAGTGGATGTACATCATCCCCGTTGTGCTATTCCTCATGATGTCAGGAGCGCCGGACGCTGGGGGCCAGGGTGGGGGTGGTGGTGGAGGTGGCAGCGGGGGCAGTGGGCGGTGAGGGGCTGGGCCGCCCTGGGTCAATACCTGTGTCCCCTTGCCAGGCGATGCCCCTCCTGCCCAGAGGTCCCCCCAAGGATTCACACCGCTCTGTCCCCCGCATCCTTCTGTGTCAGCCCTTGTTAACCACAGGAGCCACCAGGCCGTCTTGGCGAGTCCCTTCTCTGGCCTCTGTGTCCCTGTTGGGGACAAGTGGCTGCCTTCAGAGCACTTCAGTGTTGGCACGTGCCCATCTTCTGCCCCCTGCCCTGCAGCCCTGCTGTGCCCCCATGGGTTCCCTGTACCCACAGAATAGAGATCAAGCTCCTACCTCGTGCCCTGCCCCTACCCCCCACTCCTGAGCTGCAGTTTTGGGAACATGCCGAGTTCTCTCCAGCCTTCGTGCCTTTGGTGTGGTGTTCTCCCTTGGGGACCATGCTGCCAGCCTCACTGGACAGGTGGTCCCGCCCAGGCGCTGAGGGCAACTGCTGATTCACTGACACTGGATGGGGCTGTAGCCCCTCGTCTGTCTTCCCCTGAGGGTAGTGGACCTCCCTGCAGAGCCGGGCCTGGAACAGAGCAGGAGCACAGGGGCTGCGGGGATGGGGTCATGGTCTGACCGTCAAGCTCACCTCGATCTGCCCAGTGCCCATGGCCAAGAGGCTCTGCGCAGGAGTTTAGGATCCCTGCCTGCAGGAGGGCTTGAAGAAATGTTTTAAGTTTAAAAGCAAGAAACAAAAAGTTCGTGGACACAAGGGCCAGATGATGTACATAGGACCCCTTTGGCCTTGACCTTGAGGCTCTGGAAGGTCCAACCTGGTACACGGCCATAGGAGGCCATGCTGGGGCCTTTGTTGTTGACCCCCCCCCCCTTCTTTTTACCTGTTTAAAATCATGGACAAGACAATGTATTGGAATGTATAAGATAATATATTGAAATGCGTAAACGTTTTGAAAAGCTGTAATTTCTCAGTAGCCAAGTGCAACTGTTTCCTTTTTTGGGTACAAGCTAGTTGCCTGTACAGGCTTCAGGCTTCTGCTTAATAGATGATTCAGAAACCCCAGACAAACATGGCCAGCGTCATCTGTCATAACAGCTGTATGATGCTCTGCTGTGTCATGTGGCAGGTTATTAAACTTTTCCCTAAATATTTGACATTGAACCTACTTCCTGTTTTATGTGCTTGTAAATAGTGCTACAATGAATGCTGTCTCTCTTTGGTGTGAGTTTGAATTATTTCCTTGGGACGAATGACTGAAAGTGGAATTACTGTGGCAGATTAAATAATGTTTTATGAATAAATAATACATCCATGTGGCTCAGCTGTCAAAACAGTATAAAAAGGTACATGGTGCTAAGTGTTGTTTGCCCCAATCACTTGTATCTGTTTTTTATTTTCCCTCCTAGAGTGTCTTTATGCCAGTGTAAGCAACTATGAATGTATGTTACTTCCCCGTTTGTAACACAGAAGGTAGCGTATCATGTATACCTTGTCCTGCACTTCTTTTTTTTTTCCTCTTTCCTGGTACATTCTGGAGAGCTTTCCTTCTCAGCGTGTAGAGAGTGTCATAGCTGTTTGTCACAGCTGCATAAGGACGTGCAGAGAGGATGTACCAGTATTTAGCCTGTCCTTCACAAGGGGGACACTTCCATTGTGCATGGATGCAGTTAGTATAGCTAGGATAACCAAACCAGTTGCCATCAAGTCAGCTCCAACTCATGGCAACCCCATGTGCGTCACAGTAGAACTGTGCTCCACAGGGTTTTCAATGGCTGATTTGTCAGAAGTAGATCACTGAGGTGCCACTAGGTGGACTTGAACTTCCAGCCTTTCGGTTAGCAGCTGAGTGCGTTAACAGTTTACACTACCCAGGGACTCCATAACTGTGATGTTGTTGTTAGATGCCATTGAGTCAACTCTGACTCCTGGCGACATTCCATTAAACAGAACAAAACGTTGCTGGGTTCTTCGTCATCCTCACAACCATATTCGAATTCATTGTTTTGGCTGTTGTGCCAATCCATCTCACTGAGGGTCTCCCTCACCCTCAAGTGGCCCTCTACTTCACCAAACATGCTGTCCTCCTCCGCAGTTGATTCCTTCTGAAGATATATCCAAAGCAAGTTAAGTCAGACAGTGTTCTTTCGTGCTCCGTAGAGTTTTCATTGGCTGATTTTTGAAAAAAGATCACAGGCTTTTATTCCTAGTCTGTACGTCTGGAAGCTCCTCTGAAACCTGTTTACCATGGGTGATCCTGCTGGTATTTGAAATACCGGTGGCATATCTTTCAGCATCACAGCACCACACAAGCCACCACAGTATGACAAACTGACACCAGGATAAACCCCCAGAAACAGAGTGGCTAAGGCAGAGGAAAATGACATTTGTAAATTTGATAGACAGCCAGCGTACCTTGGACAGGGGTGAAGCATTCTACTCCAGCCCTGTGAGAGGCCGGTTCCCCACGGCCTCACCAACAGAGTGTTCTCAAACATCTGGATTTTGACCACCCCAATAGCTTAAAAAATGGTCTCTCAGTCTAATTATACCTGTATTTAAGAATGAGGTTAGCATGTTTGAGCCACTTGTATTTCCTGAGAACTGTTCTTGTCCTCTGTTTAATGGCAGTACTTGTGTTTTTGAATCCATCTTGGTTGTGATTCATAGGTTGCTTTAAAGGTGAGGTGCATATTCATCCTGAAAAGTCTTCCATTGTATCTGCTGATGGTCTTTGACTTAGCCCTTACCTTGGCCCCTTCATTCTGCGGGCGGCTCAGAGCCTACCCCCAGGCAACAGCCACCCCCACTGCAGTGCCATTAATGGCCTGAAAGTCCCAAAGAGGGCAGGCCAATGTACATTCCCCCTGTGTTTACCAGTGTCAGTTCTGCCTCATGCCTGCCAGCATCGGGGGTTATCTTTTTATAAGTTTTCTGTAGCTTTAATACATAAGATGGTGTTCCAGAGTTGCTCCAACTTTCCTTTCTCTGAAAGTGAGAGCAGGCTCCCATGTTTTTCCTGTCTTTGTTCCATGTGAATCCAGTCTCCATCTTTTCCTGGTTTACCCTAGAGGTACTTACTGATGCTTTTTTGAAAAACGTTCACAACCTAGAGTTCTTAACCCTCTGTCTAATTTGCAGCTGTATTCTTTCCTCAGTCACGTGCTGGTTCATTTTGTCACTTTTTAATGCACTGAGATGTGGAATTTTTATCTCAATGACGTCTTTCTCTGCAACGTCTACTGCTTTTGAGCCGGAGTTACTCTGCTGTATGTTTTGGTCACCGCCTGCATTAGTTTGGGTTCCCCAGGTCTCTGTGCTTGTTTATTTATTCTTTTTATAATTTGTTTTATTTATTTTTTGTTTTTGAGAATATACACAGCAGAACATACACCAACAGTTTCTACATGTACAGTTTAGCGACACTGATAACATTCTTTGAGTTGTGCAACCATTCTCACCCTCCTTTTCTGAGTTGTTCCTCCCCCGTTAACATAAACTCACTGCCTCCTGAGTTTTCTGTCTAATCTTTTTAGTTGCTGTTGTCAAATTGATCCCATATAGATAGTTTTTTTTTTTTTTTTTAAAGCAAAAAGTAAGTTTTATTCAGCATACATTCAAAGAGGCAGAAGTGGGAAGCGGGCAAGCATGCTGCCAGAGCTAGAATGTTTGCCCGAATCCAAAGTATATAGATAGTTTTAAGGAACACGAATGCTTTCTGCATCCTAGTTTGGTGAGTAGTGTCTGGGGCCTTAAAAGCTTTCGAGCAGCCATCTGAGATACAACTGTTGGTTTCTACTTGTCAGGAGCAAAAGAGAAAGAAGGAAACCAAAGTCTCAGAGAAGAAACTAGTCTGCAGGGTTAATAGTCTATACGAGCCAAGGCCTCATCTACCCTGAGACCAGAAGAACCAGATGCTGCCTGGCTACCACTACAGACCATTCTGATCAGGACCACAATAGATGGACCCCGATAGAACGGGAGAAAAATGTGGAACAGAACTCAAATTCTCAAAAAGTCCGGACTTACCGTACCAGTTGAGACTGGATCTGAGACTGGAGGGCTCCTTGAGACTATCGCCCTGAGGTACTCTTTAAACTCTGAACTGAAACTATCCCCTGAGGTCACCTTGCAGTCAAATAACTGATTAGCATACAAAATAAAGGATATTGTCCATGAGTACGGTGTTCCATTAAAAAAAATCTATAGGAGACCAAAAGGTCAACAATTACTGTAAAGCAAAATGAGAAGATAAGGGGGCAGGGAAACTAGAGCACTGGAAATGGAACAACCAGAACACAAAAAGAATGTTGACACATTGTGAAAAATGTAACTAATGCCACTGAACAATTTGTTTGGAAATTGTCAAATGGGAACCTAATTTGCTGTGTAAACTTTCACTGAAAACACAATATTATTTAAAAAAAAAAAAGCACAATGCTCAAGACAGACATTCTTTACTAGTTAAGCTAAACAACTGTTTGGTTTTAAGAAGATTCAGGGGATATTTTTGGTTTAAGGTTTAAAGGTTATCCAAGGGCAGTAGTTTCGAGGGGTTCATCCAGTCTCCATGGCTCCAGAAAATCTGGAGTCCATGATAATTTGAAATTCTGTTCTACATTTCCCTCCTTTTGATAGGGATTCTTCTGTAGAATCTTTGATCAAAATGTTCAGTAATGGTGGCTTTATTAACTTTCTCCTCCAATTCTTTCCTGTCCCTGGAGAGCTCATGCATGGTTTTATTTTACTGACTGGGTACCCAGGGACAGAGTACAGAACTTGAAAGCTACAGTATGAGCCCCAGCAGAGAGCTGTCTGCTCACCCTTGGCCCTCAACACACACCCAGATCCTCTCACCAGAGCCAGCCTGAGCTTCTATTCTCCTGTGCATTGTCCTGGAATATTCCATACCAAAACAATAGAAAGTTTTCAAAATACAATGAAAGCTGTGAGAGCCGGAACTCAATGGGACTGCCTTGTTTTTCCCGGTCTCACAAATTTTCCACCTTTGACAGGGTTCAGTATTACCACTTTTCTGTCACTCTCTATTAGTGGAAAATATTTGATTTTTCCTTCTCTGACAGGTTTCCGCATTACACAGTTTCCAGCTTTAGCATGTTTTTACTGTACTAAAATTAGTCTCATGTATTTTTTTCTTTTGGATGAAAACATACAAAATAAAACATACACCCATTCAATACTTTCTACATGTACAGTTCAATGACATGGTTACATACTTCACATTGTGTCACCATTCTCACTACCTCTACCCATATTGTTTCACCACCATTGAATTAGACTCTCTGTCCCCTAAACTTTTCCTCTGTGTTTTAGAGTTACTGTTGTCATTCTGATCTCATATAGCTAATTCTTTAAAAGAGCACACTACTCAAGGTGGAGATTCTTTACTAGTTGAATTAAACTGTTGTTTAGTTCAAAGATGACTTCATGGGATAGTTTTGGTTCAAGGCTTAAACATCATCTCAAGGCAATAGATTTTTGGGGTTCCCCCAGTTACAGTGGATCCAGTAAGTCTGGTTTCTATAAGAATTTGAAATTCCGTTCCACATATTTCCTCTTTTTGATCAGGATCCATTTATTGGGTTCTTGATCAAAACGTTCAGTAAGGGTAGCCGGGCACCATCCATATCTTCTAGTCTCATGGCGGTGGAGGTTGTAGTTCATGGAGGCATCTAGACCTGTAGTCCATTTGCTTCTCCGATTCCTGGGTCTCCTTCCTCTGCTGTTCAGGCAAATAGGTAGGCTCAGGTATTTTAAAAGACGGCTTGTCATAAAAATATGTCAGGTGCTAACCCTGGTGGTATAGTGGTTAAGAGTTTGGCTGCTAATCAAAAGATCAGCAGTTAAAATCCACCAGGCACTCCTTGGAAACCCTATGGGGCAGTTCTGCTTTGTCCTGTAGGGTCGCTAGGAGTTGGAATTGACTCAACGGCAACATTTTTTTTTTTTTTTTAAGAACACCTAATTGCTCATATGAATCCCTACGCTGGGAAGAGGAGAGCTTCCTCAATGCCACAAATGCATACGTGAAGAGTTGTAAAAGCATGTTGTTCTTGCTCCCCGCACCCAACTTTACATCGTTGGAGAGATTTCCCTCTCTGAGCATAAAACACACCCTCATCCAATGATGAGTTTGTTCCATTGGTCCCTGTCGATGGACTTTGGGATTGGTTCAAGCAGCACAACAGGAGGATACAGAGACCTATGTCACCTCATGTGCTTATAAGTGTGTCTGCAGGACACCTTGCCAGGTGGGGTCTTGGGTCACAAGCTGTGTCCAGCTTTCCCAGCCTCCACCTGTCCGCACTGGAGAGCCAGACACGCCCTCTTCACTCATGATCCCCACGCCCATCTCCAGCGCAGACCCCTCTCCTTATCTCAGATCCATGGCCCCATCTCCTCCCGGGCTTCTGTCCCAGATGTACCTTAAGCCCCACCGAAGAACTCAGTATCTCCTACCCACCCCAACCTCGTGCTCCTCCAGTGGGGCCACCACCTGCCACCTCTCCAACCTTCCCCCATGCACCGCCTCCCTCCACCTCAAGTCACCCCTTCTTCTCCATCCCCGTGGCTCTGGCCCCAGCTCTGGCCTCATCCTTCACAGCTGGATCCTCGCCCCGGCCACCTTCCTGGCCTCTCAGCCACCAGTCTCCCCCATTCGTCCCAAGAGGGGTCTTTCTGATGCCCACCAGAGCTGACCCCCACCCCTCTCCTGCTCACAGCGCTCCCAGGACAGTGTCCCAGCTGCTCAGCCTCGTACTTGA